AGACTGTAAAAATTTTATGATTGCATGATTATATGATTATATTCTAAATTTTTTTTCATAAAGGCAGAGACTTAGACGGACATTAAAGCGTGATATTTTCAATATCATTTGTTGCATATAACCCAAAGACCTACTAGGCTGAGCAGCACTGATGCTTGTCGAAGTGACTACATGTCAGAAAGTTTGCTACAAGATTTATCTTGCCAAAATGCAGATAATTTGCACTAATCGATTAGGGAACCATTTATGCAATAATACAGTCTGAATTCTTGTTACATAAGCAAGCAAAACGTTTTTAATATTGCCGAGTTGAGACAATGCGATCTGCTTTTTATAAGGAACAGCGGCTGGTTGAAAGGGCAGAGAAACTGCTATTTCAGATTTTTTGCAACTAGTCGTTTCTTGTGAAAGCCCCGACATAACGGACAGTTTTGATATTTTTTAGAGTAACAGGTTAACCTACTTTATGTTGCGGTTATTTCCATCGTCATTTTGGGCATCAGGGTCAACGACCGAGTACGCAGATCATTGCATGACGTTTTAGCTTCCCAAAATGATTAAAACGATGTAAATTTAATGTCATGTTCCTCTTCGCAAGTAGGTGCATTTCTAGCAGCTGAACAATCCATGGCAATCATCCACAGTGCACTGAAAGCAATAATAAAATAATTTTGATCAATTACACTGCACAGGAAACCGATTCAGTATTACCGAAAAAAATTTCAGTACATAGAAAATAAGATTGGATAGCTCGGACATGAAACGTATAAATATGCAAAACTTATGGATAATGGTATTTAAGTGGACGAAGATGTTGTTCATTCCGCTGTTCCATGCACAAACAGTGATATTATTTTCTGTACTATTAATGACGACGTTTTTGCCAAACGACGTTGGTCACCGCTAGGGTGAACATTTTTATAATGAAAGAGAGGTTGGATGGAACTTAGTACTTTATACTAATTCTTAGCTATGTCGAGCGATTGGCGCTAATTTTGATGTAGTAACTGCGCAATCAAAAGGAAATATAATCACTCATCGCGTGAATATTCGATTTTGATTCATCCCACAATAGAATCGTTCTTTTGACGAGGAATGCTATCGAGAGCATGATTGAATGGAATTCGTCGCCACTCAATTCGGTTAAAGCGTTTCGTAGATGAGGGGAACGTTATTCATTGAACCGCATGCTTGATAACTGCCGCTGATTAAATTAAAGTAATGGTACATGACCAGTTGAAAATTTGTGGGAGCCAACCGATACGAAATCTTGTGTCGTGAAAATATTTCAGAAAAGTTTTCAAACATAGTAGTACTTTTAACATTTCTTGACAATCATTTACAGCAGTTACTTACTGTAGTCACCATCCAAATTTTCGGCGGACGAAGTTCAATGTCGAAGACGCGTATACAAAATGCTGCTGATAAAGCGTTCGCATTCCTGAGGAAGTCCCCAAGGATAAAGTTACGCAACCTGAGAGATAACCCAGGCGCTCGGACAAAGGTACTGACTTTTCATATGGTCGACAGAAAATAAAAGGAGCTGCATCGCATTTAGCCACAGCTTTTTTATGATATTCCGGTACTGTCGTAGTTGTTGTACCCTTTATTAATTCACTGGTCAGAATAAAAGTAGGGTAGAAGTTTTTTATAGACAGATAACAGCTCGTAAATTAACATGTAAAACTGTTCATGACCTATGAATAAGCTTAGTTTTGTATTAAGCTCCTTTTTAACGGTACGCAGAAATATATGGAGCCTGTTTTCATAGGAAGAAAGAGGTGACGGAAGAATTGGAGATACTGTTTTTTCGACGTTTTTACCGGTAGAAATCGTGTTGAAGCATTACCTGTGAACAAAGAATAATACGTGGATTCAGTTGATTGGAGAAAACCGAGAAGTCATACTAGTCTTCGCGATATTCGTACCTAAAACAGGATTGATGAGTGTTTATCTTATCCATAGGCTAGTTTTTGAGTGAACTTTGCTACGCGGCTTTCCCCTGTAATTGAAGCCTCCCTCATACTGGAGTTGTTGCAGGCAGTTAGCAATTACCAACTTCAGCGATTCAGAACGTTTTTGAACGACGCATCGTTGGCTTATGATATGGTTTGGCGCGATGGTCTTGTTTGCAAAGTTTCTAAAAAATCAGATGCCATAAGGTTTTTCGCCTTATTGCAGCCATGATTAACGACTGTCAGTACCGGGTGCACATCGATGGGCGGGTGAGTAAGGAAAGGATCCTTAACAACGGACTCCCATAAGGTGCAGTAATTTCTCCATCGCTTTTTAACATCTGTACCAGCGACCTCCCACCAACAGCGTCGAAGAAGTTCGTTTATGCCGGTTATATTGCGCCAGCAACCGAACACACCGACTCACAGATGGTAGCTGCATACTCACGTCTGACCTAGCTGTTATGACGCATTATGTTGACCAGAGGAAGCTACACCCGAACCCGACGAAGACTTGCGCGACGGCTTTCCATCTGGACAATCGACTGGTCAAAGAGAAACTTACAGTTGAGTTTTGTGGTCAACACGTGCAGCATGAAACGACGCCAAAATATTTAGACATTGCTTTTGATCGTACCCTCACGTTTGAGCCACATCTCGGAAAGACACAGCAGAACATCAAGACGAGAAGACTTCTCGGCACTTTTTGGGGTGCAGGAGCCGCAGTGCTTACTGCGGCTCTAGTGTTCTTTTATTCTATAGCTTCACTTGCCGCATGAGGAAAATAAGCACGCAGCTCAGTGGCGTAATGCGAATCATAACAGTAGCACTGAAGTCAATCCATACATGGTGGTGGTTACCGATTATGGTGCATACTGAATCCCCTCACTCCCGAGGGGCGAGCAGGTGTTTCGCATTTTCCAGAACATTGACAGAAACCAGTTCCCATCCATCGTGTTCTCCAACAGCCACTGTCACGACGCCTGAAATCACGCCACCCACTATGGGAACCAGCGACAACGCCACAGCTGAGTCTCGAGGAACAGTAGCGAGCAGAGTGAGATGCTATAGCTACTGACTATGTTAAACTCGACTACGAACTAACCCCCTGGCAATGATTTGGCTCGTCAAGAATGGTCGAGGTTAGCTGGATTCGAAGAGGACAGTGGGGCATTGCGGACATCTCCTCCAATGTAGGAAGATTAAATCCATCCCGCTTTCGGCCATGAAAACCAGATCATGCAGCACGTTATTTCCGAATGCTCCCTGTGAAAGTTTGACCATAGCATAACGTTCTGTAGAATGCTTCCGCGGCGGCCATTCATTGGCTTAGAAATTTGGCCATTCAACTGTGAAGTTGCTAGTCACCAGCTATAAAGCATGAGAAGATTCATTCTTGTGATCTCTACTTGCAGGATTCTCAGCAGTTTCTATCTCACACAACAGTGAAACATTTTTTGACTCCGTCAGCTACGTTTTCACTCACCCACTCTGCGTTATGGGGGACATTAAAGTAACTTTCTGTCTTGTTTTAGTACGTCTGTGGCATATCTTAGCCCATCACCATCGAGAAACTGATGTGCTTCTTTCGAGCTACGTTGAAGTGATACGGCTAATTTTAGCTGAAATTTAATGACGACCATTTGGTGAACTTAATCGATCCAGGAAACATACCTCACAAGTTTTGCGCAAAGGGCTGTATCTACTGGAGCTTAGTAACGGGTGATCATAATGTTTGAACGCTTCTTCAGCGACATGAAGGTGTTTTGGCGAATTCGCTTTTTATGAAATTTTGCCCGCCCGCGATTAAGCCTTTTACAGCGAAAGCTTAGATAACTTAGGGTGGTTATCGCCATTAACCGTTAGCTTATTGTTGAAATACAGCGTAAGCATGGTTCATTAAAATACAATTTAGAGAATTAGTTTATCGGATATGCCACTACTGGCAGTTTCACCTAGTTACTTGTTGTCCTTCATTAAGGTAAAAACTGATGGCTGTTTTCGTTTGCTGCTGCTGTCTGCAGCAGCTGGACCGTTTTGAACAGAGACAGTAAGAACGATCCGGCTACTGCAGACGATCTGAACAGCAGTCGAATACCACCATCGTCAGTTGTACCTTGAAGAAAGTTGGTCAGATACACGCTGACAAATTAGACTTGATCTATCATTAATAAAATAACTTTTACGTTGTGTTTTTGTAAACTGTGTTCTTCATGTATTTCATTATTACTATCAGCGTTCGCACAGATCACTCTCTTAGTTATCGTTCTGTTTATGCTGATACTAGGCGTGCATTGGATTGAAATTCTGTTGTGCGTTCTGCTGAAGCGTCGCGTTAGAGGTCTTTAAATGCATTACTGCTTTACAGGGTATGCAGGTTTCGGCTGCCGTTCATAACAAAGCTGGTCAGAGCCATAAAGAGTTGCAGATCGCCGCGAAGCCGCCGCTCGGTTGGATCTATGGTGATTTTTTCCGACCATGGCAAAGAATATGGCCGAACGAGCCATATAACAAGGACATACAGTATAGTTTATTATTTAATGATTCGTTGTTGTTATGTGTGAGATGCATTGTCAGTGGAGTGAAGTTTGTGTGCTACGTATTGAAAGTCCAGCAAGTTAGTGGTTGCTCATTGCTGCAGTTTGTTGCTTGAGAAACTGAATGACAGTGCCGTGATTAGTCCAGTTTAGTCATTTCACTTTTATGCTGCAACAGTACTCTGCAATGCTAATTTTAATACCCGTTAGTTTCGGTTTTATCCACAAATAATACGTTATGTTGTCATAGCATATGAGGTTTAGAATAACATATTAGTACTGGGTAAAACCGAAAAGGCCACATCCCAAACACGGTGATCAAACAGCAAGCAGGAATGAAGGACATCGTCGTCGAAAGCAGGAAAACGAAGTTACGGTGGGACGGGGACGTAGCTAAGCTCACCGAAGAGAGGTGCTCCGCGATGATCTTGACTGGTACCCTCGCGGGCGAATTAGACTGCTTGAGCGCCTACCTGATGATGGGAAGATTATATCAGAAGCCGAGAAGGTCGTGCTTGGAGGGAGAAAGCTTGAAACCGTGAGAAACGGCGGCCATGACGCGTCCGGTGCGATTTGTCGACGATTATCGGCCGATTCAAATGATCCACATAAGTACGTTATGGCAATATTTTTCACAACGTTTGATCATTGGCTCGTACACCCTCACAAGATGCTAGGAATTCCTCTACTGCCACTATGGACCATAAACCGCTAGTTTTTTGGCTCAATTTGGGAAGACATTCGTCTTCTGTCACATCACATAGCAGACATTATTTCTATAAAAATTTGTTTCGCCATAGACTTGGATTTTACAAATGCATCCGGAACATGTTTTGCGGCACTGCGTATGTCTTATAGAGGCAGAACTAAATTAAACCGTTGATTTTAGTCTTCGACGGGAATATCCGCCACTCAGTTTGTTGGAATTGCAGCGTCTGATTGACCTTGGATGGATCGACGTCACGCAGCCAGTCGACCTGACGACACTGTGCCGGACATGGCAGTACAAAGTCGATCCCCTTCAGCGGCAGTTCGGCGTTCAGTTGACTGACGAGGTAAGCAGGCTTATTGGCTAGCTGCCTTTGATGAATAGGTTGTGGGCATGTCGCAAAAATGCTCTTCATGAATCTAGCTTCTCATTCATGCTATCAACGATTAAAGCACATTGTCGCATGCTAGGGCATGTTACTACGACTTATTGTTCTCACATGTTGGTTAT